GCTTTGCCAGTGCTGGTGGGGGTGGGGGTTTTGTTTTGCTCCTCCAGAGGGTAATGAAACGTTTGCAAGAAAAGAACCAAGCTCTGAGAACCCCAAGGACTCCACAGAATGAAACTCTATAAGTGTATTTCTTGCAATACAGTATAAATCTTCATTAGATGTGTAGGATAGGATGAAATGGGACCTAGACTGTACCATTTCAAATTAGCAGTTTGATATGTGGATTCAGGTAGATAACATGCTATTTATTTGAGTGCTCCTCTGTGCATACACACAGATATGTATATATAAGAGAATTGTACTTTAGCATCTTCTCCATGATATGCTAGTTCTTCTTGTGCAGGAATTATCATGAAGGGAAACCTTTCAGCCAAGTGATCTACCCCACCCCCATTCATTATTTGAGCTGTTTTTCACAACTGCAGACTTTGTATGAAGAAAGCTGCAAATTGCCTTTACCAACCATGTTAACAATTCCCTTTCTTTCTAAGGCTACAGTTTACTTTCTGAGTAAATCTATATAACTTTTTAAGTAACAGTGACAACGAAACAGCCATAAAAATATAAAAACTGGCTATAGTATTTGTAATGCCTGGTTTCTGGGCAGACATTCTGTAAGATTGCAGTTCTACACATATGTATGTATAAATAAGTCTCATTAAGTTTAATAGAGCTTATTCCCAAACAGGAACATATGGATTTTCTTATTCTGAATTAGCTTTTGACTAATTTTGTTCAGTGTATAAGCAGGGTTTTAATTCAGAGTCTTTACCAGTCCAACATGGCAGCGCTGAGAATTAAATTTGCATGTACAACATGCGTTTAGTCATTGAGTTCTATCATGGCCCCAAGTGTATGTTTCATAGGATTGAAGCCTGAAGATTGTTTGTTCTATTTTATATTTATACTGAAGAGGTAGCATTCAGATTCATTCTCTTGGAGACATCCCTGACTTTAGAAAAATAAGGTATGTGATATTTCTGAATTGCATAAATACTTCTACAAATGTACCAAATATTATTAGATCCACACATTGCATGTAGTTTACTTGCTTTTGATTTACTATGATGCATTAATCGAGCCACTGTGGTTTGGTAAACCACGTTTTGTGGAGCACTGCCAGCATTCACTCATCAATCTACAAGGCATGGCTTTAGCTTCAGATCTTGTTGCAAGGCCTCTAGTTCACTTTTTAGTAAGGAAAACCCTCCCTTCAAACTTGGCTTTCCTCTTTGTAGTCACAGTGATTGGTGTATATATAAGCATCTGCAGAGAGACAAGTGTGGGAGGAACGATATACAATATGTGTCATGACATCATGATGCAAATGATGAAACTTGCATCAGACATCATGACAAAATAGCACTGTTTGTGTGATGACATCCCGATGCTCTGTTCTAAGTAGAGAAGACAGCATAACTGAAGTTGCAAGATGCACCTTTTTCTCAAGTAAAGGAAAAATTTGATTATGGAGAAGTCTAATTGTCTGCAGAAAATACTTTATTAATTGTACCATACAACTATCTGTGCATGCTGGTTTTGATCTGGCCTCATAGTGTTAAACTTGTTCTCCTTGAATTTCAGAATACAACAAAGCTCTTGGAAGGCTGTGCTGAAGGGCACCAGCAGTGTGAAGAGTTGACAGCACTTTTGATAACTTCCCTAGAGGAGCTCTTGGAGCCTGGGGGTGCAGAGCAAAAGCAGGTCAGGATGCGTTTTGTTTCCAGTGAATTTGAAAATCAATAAACTAGAAAAAGTACCAATGTAATGATAACGATAATGATAATATATTAAATTTGTAAGCCATCCAAATGTCAACAACTCTGGGCGGCTCACAAGCAAAGAAATTACAATAAAATCCATAAAACATAAAAGATGAAAGATGGCAAGCATGATGAAGCAAGGGATCCTACTCTCCCTTTCCAAAGGCCTTGGTGAAAAGCTAAACTCAGCGAGTAAGAAAATTTGGGCAATAGTGCTTCCATCCCAGAATAAAAAAATTGATTGATAAAACAAGATATAGAAATATTGAAAATTAGAGTTTTACAAAGAGCATTCTTTTATTTATGTCTGATTGTTGATGCAGAATTTTTTAATCAGGGTCAGATGAGAGTGCTTTCTAAATTGGGACATGAACAATTAAACTAAACAAGGGTAAAAGGAACTCTTACGTTTGGTGCTCTATGGATGAGTTATTAAAAGTTTCAGAGAACTAGTAGCCAGAGAGCTCAGCTGGGAATCATTGTGGCAAAAGTAAACATAATTGATATTCTTTTTAAAGCAATTTGGTTTCAGCACCACATCTTGTTCTAGCAATCTCTGATGGCTAAGCAGCACCAAAGCTCATATGACCTCCCATTCATTTAATTGAAGAAGATAGTTCTGAATGTGCATTCCTTTGGGAGCATGATGCTTTTGCCTTTATTTAAATGAATGTGGATATCATCTCTTTCTCCAAATCAGAGAACAAACAAAATGATCCCTGACAAAGACATTGCCTTTTTTTTTTTTTTTTACTTCTCTTATTGATCACCCTATTTCTTTATGGAAAATTTCATGAGAGTTTTATCCTAGTTTATTCTCTGTTAGCATGTTTATAGAGGTCAATAGTTTTGCCAACTGCAAATTCTCTGTCATTATTGTTGTCTTCTTGCATTTTCTCACTTAAGGTACAGTGTGATATTCTTTGTCAAGCTGAAGACAGATTACAAGAGGTTGTTGCTCTAATGGACTCCCTCAGATTGGAACAGACATGTATTAAGGATGAGATAGATGCACCTCAAATTAAGCAGAAGTATCTTAAAACTAAATATGGACTTGACCGTGAGACTGAGGACATCCACTGTGATATACTCAAGTGTAACATACTGACCAAAAAGGAAGTGGATAATGAAACAACAAACACAGGGAAACTGGTAATTTCTCGCATTCCCTTTGCTCCCCAAGAGATTAGTTTTGCGGAAGAGCTCAGAGAACACCAGAAAAGAAGTTTAATAAGTATTCTGGGGTAAATCATGCAAACCTATTATGCCCAAAGGGAAAAAAGAAACCAGAATTACATATTTTCTCTGATTTTTTTTTGAGACTATATTAGGTTATTTAGAGGGAGCCCCTCCTTGCCACTGAACATGGGATTATATGAAAATTTCATTTACTCATTTTACCTGGTGTTTCCACCTACTCCCAGATAAATCTGCCCAAATGTGGAACTCATAGACAAGTGACAACCAAGTCTTTTCAGTGGTAGCATCTTATGTTTGGAAGAATTAATTGCACATTGAGGCTCCCATGGCTTCCGTATCCATTTATTACAACTGTTGTTCAGACTATTTCTAGTGTTCTAGTAATTCGGTTGTATCTAGTATTTCCTTCCTGCAGGTAGAATGGCCCTTTGTAATCCAGCAGAGAATTTCTATTGCTGGAATAGATGAGAAGGAGATTTCCATTAATTTTTCCCTTTCCCTAGAAGACTGCCTCAACTTTGCTTTGAAGAGCTTTGCTCCTCTGCAGGGATTTTGGGGAATGGGTTTTATGGAAGACAGGAGCAGAATTGTTAAGATATTAATGATCTGAATATTTAATTTATTGTTGTAAATTAACAATATAATATATTGTTGTAAGCTGCCTAGCGTCATTTAAGTAGGTGGCCTACAGATAATTATAAATTGATGGTCAGAGAGAGAGAGAGAGGCTGGCTCCAGTGGGTAAAGGAAATAAGCAATCCTTGCATACGTACCTGCATACAGCACACACATGCTTAGAAACCCTTCTGGGTGGGCAGGAATGTTTTAAACTGAGCTTTATACAGGACATAAGGGATTCAGCAGAAGTCTTTTAATGTCATTTTTTAAATAAAATTGTTGTGAATTATGAGACTGCATGGAGTTTTTAATTGAAGTACAGGGTAGTAAATACTTTATATAAATCTTCCTCTGTAATCTATACAGCTGATCAGAAGCAGGCTTTTGTTTAGAAGTCTGAAACTTGGGGTAATTTTAAAAGCAATGTATACGTAGGTGTTTTCAGCTAAAAACACAGAAATAAGGCATTGCTGAAATGTAACATATAGTAGTAAGTTAGTAGTTTTCAGTGAAATCACAATTACCTAGCTAAGGTTGGGAATGATTAAGTATGTAGTCATTTACCACTCTGAAATCTGAGGAGTAAGAATTGGAAAGTTGCCAAACATAATGCAATATTCATATTTTTCTACTTTTTAATCAAACTTGCAGTGATACTTTTTTGACAGGACATTTTGCACAATAAAACATTGCTCAGAGCTTAAAACTACTAGGCCTTATTATCATGTCATATATTTGAATATAATGATTCTCCAACATCTTCTGCAATCTTTGCTTGACTTAATTCTTTCATTTGCCTGTCTTTTGAAGGAAAACTCCTTTAGAGTGAAAAATCAAATGGACAGAGAAGATCCAGAACTTTTTCCAGAATGGTTGACAAGTAAAGTACAATTGCCAAGTTCCTTAGCACTTGAATCTGAAGAGAGAGCAGCTTCAGTTACTGGGGTAATCTTTTATTCTCCCTGACAATCTTCCTTTTAAACTTTTCATAGAATGGTTTGAAAGCTTTTTGTGAAGTTTCCATAAAACGCTGGTTATAATATGGAATGATGAAACCTGAGTCAGTAAGGGATAGGACTTTAGAGCCGCATATACATTCCTGTCTCTTTCCCTCTATTTTGAAAGGTCTGGTTTATTCATTCCCAGAATATAGCTGATAGGTAATCAGAGAGCAAGCATCATTACAGAAAATGTGCAGCACTCAGGCACAATTTAACTGTCCTGCATAACTCCTCTGAATGTAATATGCAGGGTTTTCTAATTCAGTGTTCTCTGCCACTTACCTGAGCAGAAGTCTGTGAGCAATCCTTTCCTGATACCAAAGTCCTGTCCCTCTTTCATAAAGTTCTGTAGGATATGGACCAGTTGGCTTACTCTCCATTGCATCTTCATGTATTTAAGGACATCTATAAAAGGACAAACACTTAGTGGATGTGCCTCAAGTCCTTTCCTGAAGTTTTAGAACATCTCTTCCATAGCAACACATTTACTGTTGCTGTGCTGTAGGGACTAACCTGCTGCTATCACCTTCTCCTCCCACTCTTCCAGTGGGGAGAAAAATGTCCCACAGCTCTTTAGATGAAAGGAGATTGTACCACTCAGCTGCATTTTCTTTCCCAACAGCAGGAGGGAGAGCAGGTAAACAAGTGACATATGGATTGAGAGACAAACAAGAAGAAACTCGTATGCTGGGTTGGTACCTCCACTGTTGTGACTATTGCCTTGTACTGTTGCGGAGAAAGGAAGTATCTTACAGTCACGATTGGCATTATGAGTCTATTATGCCAGCATTTTGTCATCCCCATTGGCTCCTCACCCTTTTCTGGACCTAGTTCAAAGTGTTGGTTTTGATTTTCATAGTTCTTCGTGGCTTTAGCCCTGAGTATTAGATGGATCTCTTGTCTCCACATATGCCTGCCTGTACTTTTGAGATCATAATGAGAAACATTCCTCTGCACTTTCCTAGGACTACTATACGGCCAGTATGCTCGGGCAGAGTGGGTATGCTCCAGGTCCCTTCTATTAAAAGTTGCCCTCTTGTGAGACCTGGGAAGTGTGCCTTCTCTGTTGCTGCTCCTGCCCTCTGGAACAGCATCCTCTCAGAGATACAGATGGCACCCACTCTCCTGGGGATCTGAAAAGCCCTTAAAGCCTGGCTTTGGTCCCAGGCCTAGGGTTAACGTGTTGCTGGGGTTGGGGTGGGGCTGTCATGCTGTGTTTTAATAGCTGTTTTTAGTCTGGGCTGCAGTTTTTTTGTCTCTGTTTTTAACTGTTTTAATTAGTATTAGATTTTCTAAGCTACCCAGAGTCTGCTAGAGTGAGTAGCTGTAATAAATTTAAATAAATAAATAAATTTGGGCTACAAAAACGTGGATGACCACTAGTTGGCAACAAAGAGATGCAGACAACTCTTAACACCCAGATTTTTGCAGTCTAGATATGTAGCCATAGGTTCCCCACCAAATAAATGCCCTCCCCTATTCTGATATCCTTCTGGCACCAGGTTAATGCCTTATCCAGGTGAGCCATAAATTCCTTAGCAGCAAGCCAGAAGTCTCTAGATAAGTAGGAACATGCAAAGATAATCAGGGAAACTTAAGCAGAGTGAGAGCTTACAAATGCAAAGGTGTTCATAGCTGAGGAATTTGTGATTCTTCTGGCAGTGATCAATCTATATAAATCCATATAAATTGATGAAATAAATCCAAGAGGCAGGCAAGGAAGGTAAGTTATAGGATAGTTACAGCTCACAAGACACAGAAGAAAAATACCCAAGATACAAGAATCATCAGCACTGAACAGTGACCTTGCTTATATCTGCTAGACTGGGTGTTTTCTCTCAGGTTCAACCTACGAAAAGCTGAGGCAGTCCTGCTCCTGCCAGCTCTTTTCTCAACTTCTCACTGCACCATAATTCCTTCAGTATTAATAACTAACATTCTTTAGAACTGGGAAGAGATTTGGATTCTAAAAGTTTTTCCTCTCCAGCTGTTTCTGCTATAGAAGCATTGCTTCCAGTTTCCCCTCGAAAAATGGCTGAGATTACTCAGCTTCCCACAAATCCCAGTCCCACAAAGAGGAATCAGAAGACTCTTTAGACACTGTTCCGGCAACTAATATTTATTTTCCTAAGCTTTAAAACATTTGATTAGCTGTTTTATTTTAGGTTACTAAGAATTTTATTGCTGCTTTTATAGATTTTATACCTTAAGTGTATTTCTAGGCATGTGTATGTGTATGTTTAACTATAAACCAGCCTAATAATTTGATTGAAAAAAAAGAGTATAAACCTCTATCATATCTGTATCTGGTTACAGCTTTATCCTGTTTCCGGTAATTAGCTGCTGAGTGCTTTGCTCTCCAAAGGGGGAGGGGTTTCACAGCAAGCCATAGCTCTGGGATCTCTATGAAAGCCATGGTGATAGAGTGTTAGAGATGCTTCATACCATAGAGCCAATGACATCATTGTATATGTAGAACCAATGACATCATTGTACATGTTGATGACATCAGTGGTATTATACTATCTGCTGCATTCTCTGTCCTTGCTGCTGTGACACCCAGAAGGGTGCTGGGAACTGCCACAAGTCCTCTTGCTTCACTTATTGCTGCTTACCCCAATGGAAATGGATACTGCCAGGACAATGGAACCTCAGCAGCCATATCAGTAAACAAATGCAACTATCTTTTACAGAGTCAGAGCATCCCTGGTAAAATGTCACAGCATTGGTTGACTTAACTCCATATTGTCTATACAGACTAGCAGTGAGTCTCTGTGGCTTCAAGCATAAATCTTTCCCAGTCCTATCAGAAGGTGCCAGGGACTCAACCTGGCCATTCTATATGTTCAGTATTCTACACTTTGTTACAAAACTAGCCCAGCGTTGCCATCTCTGATGGACAACAGCTTTCCAGACAAAGGTATTTTCTATGCAGGCACACTGAACAGTGGTCCCTTAAGTGATCTGAGCATTCCTCATGGATACTTTCTCCATCTGCAGCAAAAATACTTAAATGCGGAAGAAGTCAAGCCAATAGCCCCTTTGTTATGTCAAGTTGCTTCATGGTATAGAGAGTAAACACACTGAGTCTGATTAGCAGAGCCCCAGCTCAGAATTACAGCAATAGAAGAAGAAGAGAACTTTTAGGCCAATTAACTTTGTCAGAGCTTTGAGCAACCTTCTCCATCCTTATAATATTGGTCCTGGGAGATGCGTCTGTGCAAATGTGCTTTTCTCTGACCTTTATGGCCCCTTTATTCTATTATTCTTTCACTATCTTTCCATTAAGAAAGCAATTGACATTTCAGTACCTGCTGTCCTGAGAAGGTTATGATTTTTTTCTTTATCCCCTCTTCCTTCCTTCATTCTACTTCTATTTAGCAGGAATTGAAAGGCAATTTGATGGAAGCCCACAATTTCCAAAGTTCAGCAAGCCAGTGTGCAAAGCAGCAGCAGAAATCAGAGCAAATACTGGCTGATGATTATCTCAGTGAATCTCCACAACAGCAGCATGGCTATCAAAAGAAATTGCAAGCAACATGTGGCTGGTCAGAAATGCTTCAAACCATTTTGCCGTTAATGAATGGAAAAGTAATAGAGGCTAACCCTACTCCTTTGTCCATTATACATCCATCTCCAGAAAGCAAGGTAATAATCTCTGTTGTTGCACAACTTCACTGAAGGATTTTGTTAAGTGCTATTCTTATACACTGCTGGCTCTTCAGCCAGGACAGCCATTAATCCATAATTCAATCAATCTCGCTCTTTTTCTCTTTGCTTCCAATAGTGGAGGGTGGGCCACTGTTCCTGGAATGCTGGTTTATATGATGTTGAGTAGGATACGCTTCTGTTTTCAATTAATTCCCTCTTCAGTAAGGTTTGGCTTTTGGAAGAATGCTTGTTTTTTCCAGCTTCATATTTGCATTTCCAAGTCTCTATTCTATTTTTTTTAATATATATTTTTATTTTATTAGATTTATTTAAAAAGCCACAACTGAGAAAGAAAAACAGAGAAAAAAGAAAAATAATTGTGAAAAAAATCCTTGATTTCTTCTATAGTAAATAGTAGAGAGATTTGCAGCATTATAAAAGTGAATCATCAAGAAAATTTTTTAAAATAACATAACTTTTGTTCTACATATTTAAATGTCTTGTCTCATTTTAAAATTTTAGATTTTATCAAAATCAAATTATTAAGGATGGTAGTCAGGGTGATATAAATCAAAATAAAAGTTATAGTACAGTAACTTCTGTATTGACTAAAAATTTATTCCTCTTTTAGCAAATCAAATTTTATGATCTTATGTTAGAAGAAACCCAAACTTTGGATGTAATATGAGTCTGTATGTGGAGTTATAGTCAAAAACTGGTTTTTAAATTGACTTGAATGAATTTATCAGATTTGTTTTTCAAATATGAGATTATTTTGGATATTGAAGCATGCTCCCACAACTTAATTTGTGATTTTCTACAGAAGGAAATATACATGATTTACTAGTTTATAATTTTTTATTAAAGTTTACAAGTGCAAAGATAAAAGACTAATACAAATTAAGAAAAATATAAAAGGTAAGGAAAAAAAGTAAAAGGTGCAGAGAAAAAGAAAGAATAATAAAAGAAGGGGGGGAAAAAAGATACATACAGAAATGACTTGTCCCTCCCTCCAGACAAGTATGAACAACTTCAGTAATGTAACACCTCTAATATTTCAATAAAAAAAACCCTCTTCTTCCCATATCTCATCTTTTATCAATAAATTGTAAAAACTCATCATTCAGTCTTAATCAGCAAAAGTCTGTTAAGAGCTACCAGAAATAATAACATATATATTTTAACCTTAATCAAATGAATCTATTTTGTGTTCAAATTTATCACTGTCTCTAAAAAATAAAGCAAAAGAAATCTCTCCCCATATTTTATCTGTTACCTATAAACAAATCTTTAAAGCCTTGTCATTCAGTCCTGGTCAAAACAACAACAACAACAACAACAACAACAACAACTTCCATTAATAGCTACCAGAAACCGCAACATACATATTTTAACCCTGGTCAAATAAATTCACTTTATATTCCTTCCATTTACTTTTAAAAGCTTGATCTTTAATCCCTTCAAATAATGTCCCACAAGTTGATTTCTTATCATTTTATCTTTGTCTCCTCTTAGAAACTTCTTCACTAGTTTAACACAACTCTTTTGTAAATCCAAGATAAGAAAGCATTCCAAGTCATTCTTCTGATTTATTATTTGTATATCCCCTTTAATTATTAAGACATCAGCTGGTTTCATTTGTAAAACCAATGTGGCATCTTTTTCCATATCACACTGTAGTCTGGCACTCTGGGAGAGATGGGCAGCATATAAATTTAGTAATAAATAAAAATAAAATGTTTAAATCCATTTTCAGATCCACATTCAGATCAGCCTCAGTCTCTGTTTTGTCCAGTAAAATCTGTTCCTCTTCTGTAGCCTCTGTGAAGTCCATTTTTATAGTGGCAGACAATCTTAAGAGTAATTTCTGAGTACATTGTTCCCAAATATCCTTGATTTCTTCTTTAGTCAAATAGTATTGCTTCATTGTATTAATGGATCTCTTCTTTAATTGTAATCTTTAGTTCTCTCTGGTTCCCTCTAGTCAACCTTCAAAGTCCTCTCTTATCATATGTTTCTTTTCCAATCAACACAATTTTCCCACAGGAGGATTTCTTACAGTTAATTTCAAAATCTTCATATATATTTTTATAACATTTTAAACGACCCACAGGAAATATTCTTTCAAGTCCATCTGTCCCCTTTTCAAAATCAATATTCTAGTCCCCCGTTTGCTGTTTTTCAAAAGTAATTTTTTTTTCTTTTTAATACTTAAAAGTAACTTCTTTCATCAAGGATAAAAGGAAACCCAGTGTAATGAAACTTGCCATTTTGAAGGTTCTTAACATCCAAATAGTCAATAATAAGCAATTTCCTAAGGTGATTTAAGAGAGGAAGTGGGTAAACCCAGTGTCTTTTTGAAGGCGCTAAACCATGGCTTAAGCAAGATGATTCCACCCCTCCCCCCGCCCCGGCTCCCAGAGTACTAAAACCCACCAGAGATCACTGTTTTATGATCTCTTTTCAGGGAGCCTCTGTATGGAGAAAACTTGTGGTTGATCCTAGTCCTCTCCTTAATCCGGAGAGGAGTTCCAAGGAGCTGATCCATTCACTGGCTTCTCTTTCCATTGCAGCTGCTGGCTCCACTCTTCACAGAGTCATCTTCAGTCTACCATTGCTTCCCTAGAAGTCAGAATTATACATTTATAATAAACAACATAAAGTATCATGACTGTTGTTATCATAGACAAGGGTAATTTGGAATACTTCATGGGAATATGAGGTTTAATATATTTAACAAGAAAATGGTAGGTTGGAAGGAGAATTCAACTATTAGAATTTGTTTCATTCTATTATAAATTATTTTCCAGAATTTTTGGGTTTACAACATTGCCACTAAATATGGAAAAATGATCTGACCTGATCAATGCATTTCCAGCAATTTTTTGAAGAATGAATTGTCTATTCTGGCAATTAATACTGCAGTAATATACCACCAGTTAAATATTATTTATTTATTTATTTATTGACTGAATGGATGGAGTGACCATCTCAAAATCTCGACCTTGGGTACTAAACACAAGATTAAAAACCAAAGGAATAAGTCCAAATAGTAACAAACTACAGTAATACAAAAACATATTTTACTAATTTGACTGAAATGCAATATTCACCATAAATTTAATATTTTTCTTACATTGAAATTCCCATTGCTGCATTGTTGTTCTGTGCTTTAGCTAAATACTTGGTTCCTCAACATGGTGCCTACAGGCCCTAATGTGTCCACCTATCAGACTCCAGGCCCCACCTAATTTGATTTTAAGGTCTTTGAATAAAGCTGGCTTGTAACAAAGAAAAGAGCAAGTTTGAAGAATGATGTTTATTTCCCAAAATCTTCTGGGCTTTGTATATACTGCAAAGTTATTCTTAAAAAATAAAAATGGTAGAGAAGTACAGATGGGTGCTTTGTTTTAAAGTATGCCCACCTATCCAGAAGAAAGACAAAGGTAAGCTGAGGTAATACACACCATACTGAGGGTGTAGAGGAGGTAGTTTACTTTTTGGTAAATGATTATTTTGCGATTGGTCGTGCGCACCACAGCAGCTATTCTGTGTGTGTATCCATAGCATCTACTCAAAATTCTGAATATGCTCATCAGCCCAAAAAGATTATACGCCCTTAATTTAAATATTACATAAAAGGTAGCTTTCAAAATACCAAATGTTCGCACCAACATTTGGAGATCTCTACCATAGCATTATGCTTATTTCACAAAAAGCCAAGATGATGTAGTGGTCAGTCTTCCCAGTCAAAGGCTAACTCACTGATGGATACACTCAAATATGCACTATAGTCCAGTGCCCACAGACAACACTCAAATGTGTAATCACATACAGTGGTGCCTCGGGTCACGAACGCTTCTGTTCACGACCAATTCGGGCCAAGAACAGTTCCGGTCGCAAAACTTTGCCTCCGTTCGCGAACGCTGGATCGGGTCACTAACAGGATCCGCAGCCATTTTCCCTCCCATGACACGGTCCGCGGCCATTTTCCCGCCCGTGACACGTGGTCCGCAGCCATTTTCCGCCCCCGACACATGGTCTGCGGCCATTTTTCCACCCCTGACACGTGGCCCGTGGCCATTTTCCGCCTCTGACACGTGGTCCGCAGCCATTTTTCCACCCCTGACACATGGTCCGCGGCCATTTTCCGCCCCTGACACGTGGTCCGCAGCCATTTTCCGCCCCCGACACATGGTCTGCGGCCATTTTTCCACCCCTGACACGTGGCCCGTGGCCATTTTCCGCCTCTGACACGTGGTCCGCAGCCATTTTTCCACCCCTGACACATGGTCCGCGGCCATTTTCCGCCCCTGCCACGTGGTCGCAGGGAGGGGGGCTCTCCGCCCACGCCATATCTGCCTCCCTGGCCCCCACGCCAGAACGGATTAACCGTAATTACATTGAACCTTATGGGAAAATTTGGTTCGGGTCGCGACCAATTCGGGTCGTGACCAGAGTCGCGGAACCAATTAAGTTCATGAACCGAGGTTCCACTGTATATGGACACACACTACACATACACACATTCATAGTCCATGCTGCAGTCCTGAAACTAATCTCCTCTGCTGTCTATCCCTTATAGTTGCAGTTATAGGAGTAGCAGTAGTAATAACAACATAAGGTAGAGAAAGGTGGATTCTAGATTAGGGGATGCAGGAAGAGGGGAGGGCTGGATCAGGGGTAGGAAAGTGGGCAGGCTAACAGTACTCGTACAGGTTTGGCAGGAGATAAACCAGGCTACTCTGTCTTGTTCAACAAATCACAGTCAAAACAAATCCTGGCTTACCAGTATGTATTTAGCATTTAGTATGAATTTTGGCCATTTATTGTTCCTGTGAAACTGTATTATTTGTCAGTTGTACTGTTTTTCAAAGTATCAGCAATATAATAATAGGTGTCTTTTTAACTATGGCTTTGGTAAACATAATTATTAATATATGAATAGGAAGATCGACACATTAACAATCATGTCTCATTATTATAATCACTAACTGGAATCTATGAACTAGTAGATAAGTACTTTGTTTCTGCTTTTGATTTATGATCCATTTAGATAGAATTTCCCCACTGAGCCCTCGCTGCACTTTTCTATGCTCTTCAGTTTCACTGTGGGGCCTCTTAAAAGCAAGCCTAATGTATTTACTTAAATTGATAAAATTGTTGTAATTGACAATGACAAAAGATGGTAATTCAGCATGCATGTATATTCGGTTGTGCTTAGAAGTCGAACCAACTGTGTCTTACTGAAGTTTACAATTTCTTTCTTCTTTCTTGTTACCTTGTTCTTGTCATCTGAACTTGGCTTTTAATTTCTTTTATAAATGCATTGTTGCTCCTGTAATAGGACTGAACCAGAAACTTTTCTTTTGTTCATAGCTATGTGAGCTCTTTTGGGGAGCCATGGTTAAAATCACAGAACAAAGAAGCCGGGCAGCTTTGCTACCTGGCACCATACTGTTTTTGCTAAACTCATCTGGGGAAAGTGGGATTATGGAACCTTAAGCAGCTCTTTTTCCATCGGTCTCAGAGTTTAGAAATGTTGTGCCTTCTTGGGCTAGTTTAGGGTCTCCACAACTTCCTTGTTCCAGATTACAAAGAGCGTCCACAAGACATGATCATCTGGGATAAAGATAGGAGCAGCACAGTTCTGACAGACCCTAGGAGTTTGGGCAGAAAATTACTCCACTAATAATCTTAGCCATAACAATGAATAAAGTGGAGAGGATGTGACTTATAATCAGGTGATCTAGCTTGCAGCAAGATTTGTACCTGATACCTATCTCTCTTTTTTCAATGAAAAGAAAATAATCTGGATAATTGATTTAGGAATAATTAGTTGCTCCATAGGTTGCAAAAGGAGTTAAGCCAAATCAATGCAATTATCTGTTTGGATTTCCCAGCAGGACTATCTTGAAGACCAAGCAATTGCTGAATATGCTGAGATGGAACAAAAGGTCAACAAAGTGAAAATCTGGACTGCAGAGTTAGATATTGTATTAATGAAAGATCAACTGAGAGAGATAGAGGTATGGAAACAACCAATTCATTGGCATGGCTATGAGCACTCTGTTAGTCCCTATCATTTTCTTATCCTTCCATTTATTTACTCAGACACATGATAGCCTAGTAGCTATTTCTGGGTGGTACAATATCATGCCATCGGGAAGAATATGTGAACATTTCAACCACATGAACAGGATAATGACATAGATTGTTCTCACCAATTGGCATCCTTCTGCCCAGAATAGCGTAGGAGGAGCTTGTACAATTGGCTTCACTTACAGTGGTGCTTAAAAGCTTGTGAACCCATTTGAGTTTTCAACATTTCTGCATAAATATGACCCAAAACATGATCTGTTCTCCACAGAAGTCCTAAAATTAGATAAAGAGAACCCAAATTAAACAAATGAGTTGAAAACATTATACTCATTCATTTATTTGTTGAGGAAAATGATCCAAAGCTACATATTTGTGTGTGGCAGGAGAATGGTGTGTGTGTGTCCTTTCCCCTTAGTTTTAAGAAGCGGGTGGGAAGTGTCATGGACAATATGGAGGAAAAGGGCATAGTGCTACAGAGGACATTTTGCCCAGGCTCCCCCCTACCTTAGCAGCATCACTGGCCTTGGTGCCCTAAATGTGGGCTTCCAGGAAGAATCTGACCATTCTTGATTAGAAATACAATGCATGGTAAATGGATATCAAATTTGATTGAGAAAGACATACAAATGAAAACAATCCTTCCTTTAAAACAAAAACAAAAACCTCTTGTCTGGTTTTCTGTCATAGGATTTGTATCTGCAACTAGAGAAGCAGAAAGCTGAAGCTTTGTTACTGTGGCAAGAACATTCAACTGTGGCAGAAGGAACCAAGGCAGATCGCCAGGACCCCCACAGTGTTACTTCTTCCAGTTGGGACAGACTCCTGCAACAATTAATGGTTGTCAAAGAGGCCAAGCAAAATCAGTTTAATTTAGTTAATCGTTACCAAGAATGTCTTGCCACTGTCCAGTCTTCAATGAAACATTTATTAGCAGAAAAAGAAAACATGAACACGTAAGTGCATGGGCTAGGTTTCTACATCAGTTAGACTAGCATATCTGATATAATTAACTTAAATCAGTGAGCCAGTAGCTGCACCATAGAGATGACCATTGCTTTTTATTCTTTTATTTTGTAATATGTTACATCCCCAAAAGCTTGGGATAGATACAGAATAATATGGTTCACACACAATGCTAAGCCATACATATGTGAACCCTCCCATTATGGCTTAGCACAATGGTTTTAAACTGCTGTGCCACAGCACATCAGTGCACTGTGAAAGGTCCGCAGGTGTGCCACATCAGCAAACCAAAGTCAATGATGGGAAGCGGTGTACAGCACCTCCATGACATCACTAGGGGAGGAACGCCTCCTTTTCTTTTCCCACATCCCAGCAACCTGTGACGTCATGAGACTTCTGGTTTCGTGACTCAGAAGTCCTACCCATGAAATGTGTGCTGTGAGATGAAAAAGATTGAAAACCACTGTCTTAGCATTTTGCACAGACCAAACCACTAAGTCTAGTCCAACATATCATGGTAAAACAATCCTACTTTAATATTGTCTCTGAACACAGATAAGTTAAAGTTATGAAGCATATTTCAGTTTTTGTTTTTTTTAATGAGTGAGAGGCCATGTTCTAGAGATGCAAAAGAACTTGAAAGTTATGTGGTCACGTTCTCCCAATGTTCCTGCTCTTTCTGCTTTCTCAACTAAGTCATCCCTATTCCAAAGGTATACAAGCAACCATATACCTCTGGGAAGTCTACAATCACTGCATATGGTCAACAACTTTGTTGTGCTCAATTACTACTCAGAAGCTGGTGTTCAATGAGACAGCATTTCTGAGTGTTTAGTTCTGAGTCTGGAGGCTGCAGATTCCCAATTCATTGGTAGCCATTCAATCACTTTAATTTGTTTTAATCCCAATTTTTGCAGCTATTTTTAATAACATTTCATCACACTTATTTACCTAGACAACAATGCTGCCTCTTTCCAAGGCTCCAAACTTTCCTAAAGCTCTTCACAATAGGAAGAATCTATGCATAACTGAATACAATATACATCAAGCAGAACTAATAAACAAGCACCTAACAAAAGCTTTAAAAGCAGTAGTAAAAAGAAAAAAAGAAAGAAGAGAGTAATTTGCAAGTAAAATTCCCAATCCTGATTATTAGGAGTTGGATTGTTGTTTTAATTTATGAAGACTTATTGCTGGATTAGTTGAGTAAATATCAATTATTGACAATATTGTGCTAGCCAATAAGTCCCGCTGAAAGCAGTGGGACTGCTAAGTAAATCTACATAGGATAGGAATGAGTAAGCACCGTAGTTGCAACAATTATTGCCATGGTATTAATTATGCATAATATCCTTTCTTCCAGTGGTTCTGGTTGCATTTAAATGTTAAAAGCATACACATTCATGTTTAGTAATTATGTCCAATGTATGGTGGACCTTTAATGTAATGTTAATATAAATGAAATATGGTTCTATATACCTGATTAGTGGATGCATGTTGAGTATATTGACTTTACAAAAAAAATATAGCTGTACCTGTTTTTCTATTGCAGAAGGGGACCTATGGAAGACACAGCTCTCCTGGAGAATTTGAACAAATTGTTGGCTTCCAAACAAAAAGAAACTATCCTTTTAAGCAAGCTAAAAACCGAACAAGAAAATATATCTAGACATCTATCCAGTCTGGACAGGGAATTAATACAAAGCCAGGTGAATCAAGCTGAGCAATGGTGGAAGCAAATGGAGGACAGTCTTCAAAAGAAACAGTTCTGTGTTGCAGCAGAAGTGGATGAGTTTAAACGTTGCATGGACAAAGCACAGGAACTCCAAATATGTTTGCAACAGCAACGTGATTCCCAGACAAGCCTGGGTACTCCTGGTAGACAAGAGCATTCATACCCTATCTTGACTCCTTTAGAACTACACATCCTTAAACATAATATTTCTTTGTTAAAAAGAAATGCTGAGATACAGATGAAAAGAATGTGGAGTAGTCCAGGAAAAACAGCCTTGGAGAACACAATAAATGATCTTCAGAGCCAGGTAGAAGAATTGGAGCAAATGACCCCTAAAGAGAATGTCCAGATAACTGACAGTAATCCCCAGACATATGAAATAAGAAAAGAGATAGAAGATGCCATTTTGGGGACCAGAATTTTAATGCTCCATCTCGATGAGAGGGCAGCACTTTTTCCGGATGATCTTCTCTTGCAAATGAAATGTTGTAAGGCTATAATCAGTGATGCTGAAGAAAAAGAGCAAGCTTTTATGAGGCTAGCAGAAGAAGCTCAGCATGTTGCTTCTCACATGCCACCAAAGGAGAGTTCTGCTCTTAGCATCCTTTCACATGAGTTGCAAACCGGTTACCAACTCCTTATTTCAAAATCATCTCAGAGGTTACAGCAGCTGGAATCTCAGCTTGGAAAAAGAGAAAAACTTTTTGCAAATATAGAGAAATGTGAAGCACAACTACAGGAGATCAAGATAATGTCTAGCTTAGATGTTGATAAAACAAGTCTAAAGTCTGAGTATGACCACATGCAGAATCTTTTAGAAAAGACCCCCAAGAAAATTCAGGAGATGGAAGCCCTTGTAGATGCAAACTGCAACGATTCATCTGAAGGATTAAATACTTTTGAGCAACTGTTTCTAAATGATTGTTCAAGAAGCCTGAGGAGTAGAGCAAAGAGGGTCCATAGGGTAATCCAAATTAAGGCTTGTTTAGTACAAAACAAAGTGGATACCTATGAAAAATTCTCAGAAGAGATAAAGGCTTTGCAGCAGGATCTCAGCAATCTTCTTTTTGATGACCTGGAACTAGATCCAGAGGAACTGTTGTCTAGGAATCAAGAGATAAAAGATAAATTGAATATGCTTAAAGAGAGAACTTTCACCATCCAGTCACATTTATCATACTTGGACCAATACCAGGAGATTTGGAAAGGGCTGGGTCTGAAATGGGATACATCACCTCTTGAGGAACTGAAAGATCAGTTCTGCAAAGCAAAGAATAGCCTTGACAAAAGGGTTAAATGTGTAAAGAATTTATTTGCAGAATATGACAGACATCAGGTAGTACTAAGTGAGATTGAGGCTACCATGTCTAGTATTCAGAAAGAATATAGTGATTTAAAAGATCTTGCCAGTTCTACTTCTGAAACCAGACTGATAATAGGAAAAAAATTAATATGGAGAGTTGAACATGCCAGATATATTACTCAGGAAGCATTCAAGCTGTTCAAGAAAAATAAAACATTTAGTGCCTCTCTCAAAAAGGCCAACAAGCAGCAAATAAAGTCCTTAGAAGCAAAAATAGATGAGCTGGAACAAATGATCCGATCTATGATATTAGCTAATCAAGAAATATGCAAGTACGAACAAGGTTTCCAGAGCAAGCTAGGCCACAGTTTAAGGACTTTAAAGCAAATTCAGTCTGAGCTCCAGCAGCCTGTCTTACTTGACTTGAACATTCAAATGATTTCCTATGAAATGATGTATTGCAAAGTGCTTAAAGGTGCTATAGAGGCAGAGATCTGTGCTGCTGAAGATATAATAACAAAAGAGAAATCATCTGCACAACAAACACTTCCCCATCCTGAGAGTTTGGGTAAAGAAATAGAGGAATTCCAAAACCTGAAAATACACCTGAAAGCAGACTTTGCTGAATATACAGTAAGTAAGCCTGGCCATTCTGTTTTCTTTGTAAACAACTTTATAAACTCTGGTTACTTCCGCATGAGGAATTGTTGTGGAATTGCCATGGTTTCTTCATTCATATTTTATATGATATCCATATAACGGAATCTATTTCTAGTTCTTGTAAGTTTTCTCTCTTTTTGAGAAGGATAGATTAATAATGCCATTTTTACCACAGCTGCATTTCCATCTTACTTACACTGAAAGAAACTGAAGTTTTCTAAAAGACTAGTAATATTACTAAAATAATTAAAAAGAACTTTGTAATTTTATGTGATAAAATGTCCATTATTAAAAATGTGGCTTATATTTTGAACCGCGCTTTTATTTTTTACAATGATTGTAGTGACTGTCTTGATACTTCTCAATGCTTCGACATAAGTAACAGAATATTCAGATCTGTGACTGTTAAATTATTTTGGCACCCATACTAATAAGGAAGAGAGCCTCAAATGGTTTGCCATCCATGGCTTCTTTTCTATAAACCTGCCTATTTATTGAGATGCTTGATGGATATATAGAAGTTGGCAACTGTTAAGGACAAGGCCATTTGCCATTTGGCCCTTGACTTTGAAATATACTTTTTACCACTAGCCTCCAATATTAATAATTTTGAGACACACATGAACATTTTTATTTAGAATAACATATGGTTGGTTTTAATAATAAAAGGTTCTGGATGCTCCTTTGCTAGCAGATACTTGGTTCAGATATATACGCACCTTTAATAAAATGTTAAGTCATCTTGGTTTCTATGTCAGGAAGCCACCTTTAACAAAACTGATCATTTTTCTGTATTCTCCAAATTTCACAGGATCGCTCAAACAATTTCTGCATTTATTAAATGCTAATTTAAAATGGTAAAAAAATGAAAGTGGGTTACAAAACATTTAAAAACAATATGGATGTTAACTAAAATATTTACAAACAAAATATAAATTTAAAATATAAATAAATATGCAACTTTAAAACAAACAACAGTTATCTTTCAAAAGTCTAGTGAAATATGCAGCAGAGCCTTTTTTAATGTAGTTTTAACTTTGGAAAATTGTTAAAAAAAAGCAAAAGGAGGACCTAAGCATCTGTAGGCTCTTTGACCACCAGTAAAAATGTCTGCCAGCTAATAAACATGGAATTAGATCAGGGCTGCAATGGCATGGCTTGGAACTCCAGCACAGGAAAACATCTGGGAGAAGAGAATAATTTTTCAACTGACATAATATTGTTGCTGTCAACTCTTTTATTTGCGCAGGGAGCCTTAGATGAAGCCTTTAAAACAGTGAAGCTTTACAACAAAGCTGTTGAAAAAACTGCAGATCTCCTCAGTCAGTGTGAAGCCTTTCTCTCTACTCCACTGCTTAGTTTACACAAGCTAGAAGAATCTCATCTTGACTTTGACCAGAAACAAGAAGAATCTGAAGCTGCAAAGTCTGAAGTGGAAACTTTAACCAATACTCTGAAAAAGACAATTAAATCAAAAGCCAAACTGCAGATGGAAAAAATACTTGGTGATCTAACTGCTAAGAATTTGGCAATAAGAGAGCAGAACCAAAAGAGAAATTCCTACATACAGAGGTAGGATGAACATTTCCATCATTTCAAGAATATATGAAACTGCCCTATGCTGAATCAGAGCACTGATCCATCTAGCCTAGTATTGTTGATGATTATTCGCAGGCACTCTCCAGGGTTTACAAACCCTACCTGGACATGCTAGAAATCAAACTTAGCATGTTCTTCCCCAGTTTGCCTTGTTTATGTTACAGCCCAATTTTCCATTGAAATACTGAACATGTTTACAATGAAAACACAGATATGCAGTATAACAATATTAATTCTCAATGAACAATTTCAACATAAGAAGTATCTTATCCCTGCCAGTGACGGTTTCATTGCCTCCTATTTTCAAGTCTTCTCTTTCAGCCAGAAGGTGACTGTCCCTTTGATAGCTGTTTTCTGGGCATCATCTCCTTGTAAGCTTCTTGGTTAGGATGTTCACGTGAAGCAGATGGAAAAGTTTGCTCTGAACAGTATCTATGCTGCTTTAGCCTAAAATGATACTTTCTAAGCAGCACCTTCTTTCATTCAAAATTAAGGGAATGTACATAGTTTTCACTACATTATATATTTGTAGTGAGCAGTGAGATGGGATATATTGAGAAATAATGACTGGGCTATTAGCTTCAGAGCAAAAAGGTATTTACAGCCATGTCTACTCAGTCAGAGCTTATTATGTTGTTCATTGCATCATGATTTAGTACAACACACTAGCTAAAATGGTGCGTGTGAACATTCTTGTGCATTTTTTAATGAAGTACCATATAAAATGATTGGTAAGATCTGTCAATTTCTCTCTCTTATATCAGTTTTATTTCTACCAGTAGTTAAAAGCTGACAATGCATAATTCTATCATCTGGATAAATTTACATAGTTTTATTTAAATACATCTTGCATCTATAGGTGTATGGAAAAATATCACAGTTTCAAAAAATCCAAAGAGAAGATATGTGCTGAGCTTAACAATGCAGAAAAAGTACTTTGGAAGTCATTATACTATGATCCAGTGTCTTACAAAGAAGCTTTAGAACATTCAGAACAAAGCAAGGTGAGGATTGTAATCATCATCATCATCACCTAATATTTTTATGTATTTCTTTTTAATAGTTTATAATGTATATAATTTGTATGCCTTCAAAACCAAGTTTACAATAGAGAATTTGATGCACTTCACACTGGCTGTAAAAAGTATTTACCGTATTTTTCCGACTATAAGACAATACTTTTTTCTAAAATCCTTACCCTAAAAACT